GATCCTTGTAATCGGTTCCCCCTTTCCACCTCACCTTCCCTCCACCCTCCCATATTGCCATTCTCGGCACTGGTCCAGAAGGGTTCATCTGTCCCAGATTCCCTGTGTTTCCAGTTCCTATCTGTACATCCTCTGGTCTAGACAGATTTGTAAGGTAGAATTGGGATCATGAGAGTGGGTGGGTAGGGGGTGGAGAGAAAGCATTTAGGAACTAGAGGAAAGTTGTATGTTTCATCATTGCTACACTGCACCAACTGGCTTGTCTCCTCCCAGTGACCTTTTTATAAGGGGATGTCTAGTTGCCTACAGATGGGTCTTGGGTCCCCAATCTGCACTCCCCATCATTCACAATGATTTGATTTTTTGTTCTTTGATGCCTAATACCTGATCCCTTCGACACCTCGTGGTTGCATAGGCTGGTGTGCTTCTTCCATGTGGAATTTGTTGCTTCTAAGCTAGATGGCCACTTGTTTACCTTCAAGCCTTTAAGACCCCAGATGCTATATCTTTTGATAGCTGGGCACCATCAGATTGCTTCACCACATTTTCTTATGCACCCAGCCAAGTACACTTTTCTTAACACCTCATACAAAATCCTCAAACTAACTCTTTAAATTGTGTTAGTAAACATTTAGAAAAGGACAATCTGATTATTAGCAGTCAGCATAGATAGGCCTAGGAAAAACATCTGTCAAGCTCTGCCTGTAGTGGTCATGGTGATGGTGCCTGTGATGGTTGATGATTGTTAGAATTATCCTCTGGAAAATACATCAGCCCCTAGCTCAATCCTGGAAGATATTAAATAAAAATCACAAAATGCAAAGATGTTTGGAACCTTATAATTAATTTATCCCAAATTTCTAGACTATAGAAGATGTTTTTCTACAACAGTAATTGGTGCATAGCTAATGCTTGAGTATAACAAAGGTAAATGATTTGAAGTGTATGACTGAAAATCTGTTTTCCTGTCAATGTAAACCACTGGCCCTACCTCTTTCTTCTGGATCACCAGAAGTCTAATCTTTTAACACAATGCCTTTTGTTTTAAAATTTCAGAATGTGTCATGTTATACACATGGAAAATAGAAAGCTGTATTTGGATACTTATTTACTACTAAGCAGCCATAATGAAGTCTAACTCATAGTTGTGCTAGGAAAAAGCAAAGCTTAAAACAAAAATGTTCTTAGAGACTGTTAGATCTCTCTGTAGCTAGATCTACACCTCGGTTCTTGGCTCTGCGCAAGAAAGAATTCACGCTGAAGTCTGGTTTGTGATCCAAGTGAGTTTTATGAGAGTTAGAAGAAATTTCAGGTTTACACGGCACCCGCGGGGCTTCTACCGAACATGCGGCCTGGCTGGAAGTTGCTCTGTGTCACGCAAAAGTGTCCCAAAGTCCTGCCAAAGCTCTCTACGCCAAAGTTCTCTCTCCTGACTCCGGACTTCTGCCTTTTCAAGGATTCCACCACGGGGGGAGGCATGGTGGACGACCCCTGATCGGCCCCATTGGCTGAATTGAATTCACCTAGCCTAGGTGGGCCAATTCAGGTTCACGCCCACCCATGCCTACCTGCGGGAAACCTGAGCTTCTGGGCATGTGCAGTGCGCCACTCCTTTGTTCCCGTAGCTTGGCCCTCTGGGCATGCGTTAATGGACATTCCCAGCCCTTTGCTAACCTACCTAACAAGACCTTTTATTTAGACCTTCAGCAGAACAAAGACAAAAGCAGAGACAATCATCCAGAAGGGAAAACTGTCAGCAAGTACCTAGTACAGAGGCCAATGCACAGTCACGGTGTTTGTTAGCTGCTGTGGGGAATCATGAGAATCATCACAAGAGCATGATAGGTTCAAGTCAATTCATCACTGTCACAGTGGAGCCTACCGAATGCAGGGAAAGGACCATAATTGGGATTCATAGTTACAAGTTACAAAGGATACAAGGTTGGTCCTGGGGTATTGATTACCTGGTTCCATGGCAATCAGGGTAGGACTCATGATCACATGACATTGAGTAGTCACAAGGTGGTTACAAAACAAGAACAAGATTCCAACCTTGAATTTAAATTAGATAATGTGTCCGATTGGCTATTATTAAGTAAATTATTAAAGGCATACCCAGGGGTATGTATTCCCTGGTTTGTTGTGTAAGGATTTCTTCTTTTTTTTTTTAACCTGCTCACTAGTTAATCTACTTTTTACTATATTTTTGTGAGGGCAAGTTGGCCTGCCCAGGGCTTGCCAGGGTTTGTTTTTGCATAGCCATGTTACAGAAGTAACATAAATCCAAGCCCACTGCCATTGAATCCAATTTTGACTCCTAACAACCCTATGTAGAGTTTCTGAGACTATACACATGTGGGGGAGCCAAGAGCTTCATCTTTCTCAGAGAAGCCAGTGGGTTTGAAACACTGACCTTGAGCCAAGGAATCTTGCTTTGTTTACTTTCTGTTCATTTTGCCTTACTTTAAAAATCTATTTTTAGAATCAAGTGATTTCCAAGCCCAAAGATGGAGCAAGGCTAAAGAAGAGGCATATGTTGGGTGATTGAGTCCATACTTAATGAAAGTATTAATAGGATGTGGTAATTGACTGAGGCAAATACATTTTAACAATGCAAATGTGGATTTTTGAAATAGTACACAATAGTGCATCCACAATTTTCTGTATAAGCACAAATGACTGGAAAAGGACAAGTGAAAACATGTGAAGATTATGAGTGAGATGTGGAGCGATAGTTTTTAAATAGGCATATCTTCCAAAGTAAGCAGGGTCATATTTCCACTGGATTGATGCTAGCCAACTTCCCAGGAAATATCAGTTCCTGTTCAGGATGTCGCTTTGAGAAGTAAACCAGCAAACTTCAAACAGTCCTGAGAGAGCAACTAGAGTGGCTGAGGATTGCAAATGGCTATAGGAAACACACTTGATAAACTTAGCACACAAAGGCTCCCCCCAAGGAAACCTGGTGATGCATTGTGTTAAGCACTGAGCTGCTAAACACAAGGCTGGTGGTTAGAACCCATCAGTCTCTCCCTTGGAGAAAGAAGAGGTTTCCAGCTCCTATAAAGATTCAGGATCTCAGAAACTCGAAGGAGCCATTCTCCTCTGTCCTACAGGGTCACTATGAGTCGGGATTTTATGGCAGTGAATAGGGTTGTTATTGTTAGGTGCCATCGAGTCAGTTCCGACTCAGTGACCCCATGTGCAACAGAACCAAACACCCCCAGGTCCACATCAGCCTCACCAATGCTATTATGTGTGAACCCATTGTTGCTGTCACTGCGTCAATCCATCTGTTCAGAGTCTTCTTGTTTTTCACTCCCTCAATTTTTCTAAACATGATGTCCTTTTCCAGGGAATGGTCTCTCCTGATAACATGTCCAAAATACCTGAGACAAGGTCTCCCTATCCTTGCTTCTAAGAAGCATTCTGACTGTACTTTTTCCAAAATGGATTTGTTTGTTTTTTTGGAAGTTCATGGTACTTTCAATATTCATTGCCAGCACCATCATTCAAATGCATCTGTTCTTCTTAGGCCTTCCTTACTCAATGCCCAACTTTCACGTGCATATAAAGTGGCTGACAATACCATGGCTTGGGTCAAGCGCACCTTAGTCCTCAAGGTAGCATCCCTGCTTTTCAACACTTCAAAAAGGTCCTGTGCAGATCTCCTCAGTGCACTGCATGCACCAAACAAAAATCTTGGGGTGTCAAGCAGAGCTCTTGTAAACAGCCAAGAGGGGTATTTTGCTGCAGAAGATAAAAGTAGACCTACTTAATGGTATTTGAGGAAGGAAGGAAAGAAGGGCACAGAATTAAAAGGAATACAAGGAGCTGCATAAACAACAGAAGTACTAAGGACCCTTCATTAGGAAAGACCACGCCCACTCAACGGGGGTCCTACACCTGTGTGATGGTCTTGGACTGGAAAGAGGTGGAGTTGTGAAACTTTCCATCCGAAGGCTCCCAGGGCTATCTTCAAAAGAACACAGTTTGTGGGTTGTTGGCCCTCTGCTCAGGAAAAGGATCTGCTCAGGAAAAGGGCACGTTCTGCTGCTCGGTGATATATTAGGAGGGCTAATTTCCTGTAGCCGGTTCACTTGCAACCAGCTGTTGCCCCGCGGCCCGTTTTGAACTATCTTCAGTGTGAAGCTACCCCTTTAGGAATGAGAGCAAGGGCTGAGTAAAAGAGGGCGAGAGTCTTGTATTAATCCTTCATCCCTGTTCCAAGCATTCCTAATCTGTGAGGTCCATTTGAGTTTACAATTGAATATAAAGGTTCAGGTTTCCCTTCCAGACATGGGGGTGGTGTGGGGGTAGGGACTGAAACAGCTGCTAGAGATAGGGAGTGTCTAATAGTTGCAAGGGCCAAACCACGGTGGGGTTTTAAATAACAACTCCAGTACACATAGAGCACGAGGAAGGGCTGCAAAGCAGCAGATGAAGAGGAGAGGGGACTTATATGGTCCTTCTCCTGTCCCAACTTTTGGACAAGGACAATCTAGGAACAGGTGCGCCCCACCCCTACCCCCACTTCCCTTAAAGGGGGATTATTTTGCAGCGGTCGGTTTACCCGGAACCCAAGAATGAAGGCCAAAGGCAAGACAAGAACGCAGATAGGGGTCGGGGAGAGGAGCCAGAGCCAAGGACACCTCACACTGGGGATTACATCACTGCCACAAAGAAGGCTTGGTCTTGCCCTTACCGGAGCCCGAGGCTCGCAAATCTGAGCCGGGGCTGGAGTGGGGTTGCCTGGAGGGTATGAATCTGGGGTGAAAGTGCTCCGTGCGACCGAGGTGTCCGGGGGCAAGAGGGAGACCTGAAGCCGAGCCCGAGAAGGCCGCGGGCCCCGGCGTTGGCCCCGCCCAGGGCTCCGCCCCCGCTCCGGACGGCGCTCGGCCCTGGGAGGGGCACGCCGGTTTGGGGGTGGGGTGTGTGCGCGAGGGGGTGGGTCCGTGGCGGCTGCAGGGGAGTGGGCGGAGAGCTGCCTGCGCAGTCCCGGCTGGCCGGGGACCCAAGGCCCGCGGGGCTGAGAAGGGCAAGGGGGCCACCGGTCCCCGTCCACCGAGGGTGAGGACAGCGCACGAGCCGGGAACGAGCTCCGGGGAAGGGGCTCACCTTCCCACCCCCCGCCTCCCACGGGGTTCGTCAGCCACACGGCAGCTTCCGCCTTCTTCCCGCCTCCCCGCCGGCCTCTCCCGGGAGCCGAGAACGGGCGTGGACGGGACCGACGTGGACCCGCTTCTGGATCTCGGACGGGCGGCTTCGGGTGTGGGGTCACGCCCAGCTGCGGGAGCTGCCAGGGCGGATGCAGCCGGATCGCCCCGGTGTCGGTGGATTGGGGTCGGGCCGTAGCGGTTCCTAGGGGAGGAGCGGTGGAGAAACATGGACCCCTTCGACAGCAGAGCCACCTAGTGCCGGAGCGGCCCTGCGCTCCCCCTCCCAGCTTCTCCGCACGCAGACGCGACAGGGCCGGCGGCAGGCAAACTGGAAGCCCAAGTTCGAGGTGGGCGCGGAAGAGACTGTCCGTGGTGCTGAGCCGGATCTGGGCCACGGGTTCGCGGAGCTGCTGAGCCTCACCATCCAAATGTGGCTGCGGACTCGGGTCGATTCTAGCTGAAACTCCCTGTCCCCCCTCTGCAGACCGCCACGCTTCCCCTGTCTCAGGCGCTCGGCCCTTCTGTCATTCCCGGGGGCATTTTGTCCCGAAGGGTTTCCTCGAAAGTAAGCACGCAGCGCTTGACCGGGCAATCTCTCCGTTTAGTCCCTGAAATCACTAGCAGAAAAAGATGACTGCCCTCAACAGATTGTTACCCCTGGCTTCCCTGGTGCTCATCTGCTGGGGTAAGTACCAGCCCCGCTGCCGTGGACGATGGAGATAGCAGTGGTAATGCTAGCAATAATAACCCTTATTGATGTTGTGGATGGCAAAAAGGAGCCTGGTTGGCTTCCCTCTGTGCATCTCTGGTAGACACAGAGAAATTCATGGGGATTCCATAATCCTGAGATGGGAAAGACGCCTCCACCCCACCGCATTATTCCCCAGGCTCCCAGGGTGGTGCTTCCGCCTCTCCTTCAGTTTCCTGATCATTCCATAAGAGACCCCACCCCCCACCCCTTTATGGTAAAAGGGATCCCAAGCGCGTTCAGAACACATCTCCTGGGTTGCACTTCCATCCCATTCTGAACGAGGAGCCAATACTCCTGAAACCTTGCTGGGTCCCCAGAGCACTTTCCCTACATTAACACAGAAACACAAGGTTTGGTGAAAAGGCCTCGCTGTAGATACAGCTGCTTCATTTGAATAATGAATGAGAGGAGAACAGGTTTCAGCTATTTTGCTGCAATGTAGTCATAAAAACAGCCACTGGAAATTGGATTTTTAAATTTATTTTTCTTGAACATGTGGAGCTAAGGGGTTTGGTGTTGTGGCGCTGGGTGCCTTGTTTGTCTGTTGTGAGAGACTGAAGTGACCCTCACCCTCCCTTTCATCAGAAACGCTAAGCTAGAATGGTGTCAGAGATGGATTTCCTAGAGATCGGGTATCCAAATATATGTAAATTTTATGTAAAAGGAATGTAAGGAGTCTACATAATAATTCTGTGTCTGCATGTGTGGTACTGTGTGTCTGAGCAGATTAGTGTAGGTATCTCAATTCATTGGTGAGATAATCGAGAGAGAGAGAGAGAGAGAGAGAGAGAGAGAGAGAGAGAGTGTGTGTGTGTGTGTGTGTGTTGGGGTAGGGTGTCTGGACATCTCTGCTCTCTGCTTTGATACATCAAATTTACATGTGCTTCAGTTGATGTATTGCTTTCCATGATTTAGCTATATTCCTCCATGCTGAAATAAATAGCCAGGGTAATGCAGCATGATTCTACCCACTCACCTTGTTGAAACTAGACATGCGGGATTATGTTCCCATGATTGGCATAAAACTCATTTTGCCTGTGCAGTGGTAGACATGCTGATAATAATAGTCTTTTAGTACCAAGCCTCCAAGACTGACTCCAGCTGCCGGCATTATCTGGATTTTGCATGTGATCAGAGGCAGAGCCAAGTTTACTGTAGAACAAAATGCCTGATGGGCTGAGGAGGGAAAGTAATGTCAGTCCCAAGGGCAGACTCACTGCCGTCCATCCCCAGTAGAGTAGACCAAGCCTGGAGATGAAGCAGACATAATAGGTTGCCAATGATCTCACCTGCTTTGAAGATTTAAGGCTGAGATTTTCTCAGGGGAGGCTAGGGCTGGGCACATGAGGCTTAGAAGAGGTTAGCCTGGCTGCACAGGAAAGAATATCGGGAAAGCAACAGGAGATGACGTTGTACGGAAGATTCAGAGTCATGAATACCCTCTCAAGGTCCAGCTGTTTCCTAATGGAAGCTTGGAGGTGTGTGTGTTCTGGAGCCCTGGTGGTAACGTGGGTTCTGCATTGTGCTGCTTAACAGCAAAGTCAGTAGTTCGAACTCACCAGTTACTCCTCAGGAAAAGCGGACGCTATCTACTCTTGTAAAGATGTATCGCCTCAGAAACCGGAGGGAACATGTTTAATGTGTCCTGCAGGGTCTCCATGAGTCGGGTTTGCTTTGTTTTCTTATGTTTGATTTTGGCCTGAATTCTTGTGGAAGGGAACCAAAGCAAGCAACGAAATGCACGATCCCAGAGTGGCTTGTCTGGGGCTTGGCTTGGACTCTTCCTTTGCCTCTAGAGCCCAGGTCTCAGCCTCCTCGAAGGTACGTCAGGGAGTAGGAGCAGATTAGCTTCACCATCCGTTCAGCCCCACCACTGCCTGGTAGGAAAACCTTCACAGCATATTGACAGAATGCTGTGCTCGATGTTCTTTCTACCCCTGCCTGCTCCATGCAAAGAAGACCTTTGGGAAAACGTGAACACATTACATGCGGCTTAGCACAGCCTTTAACTATTTTGTAATCTGAATGCCAGTTCACCAAACCCAAAAGCTGCAGAAGAAATGAGAATTCATTCAGAAAAAGCTAGCTGCTAAATAAAAGGGAGAGAGTCCTGCTTCACAAATGCCATTTCCTTTGGCTTGCAGTGATCCCAGTGTTGGAAAGTTTCCATTCCAAAGTTGGTCTTCACATAATGCCAAATATTAATGAAAGAGGCTTTGCTAGTCGTTTGTTTGCATGCCCTAAACAAAGTCCTTTAATGAAGTATATTTTATCTTTTGAAAATTTGTACTTGTCTCTCTGTCTCTCTCTCTCTTTTTTTTTTCATAGTTTCCAACCCATCAGTTCTTTTGATCCACACAGGAGGTGGTATGATTTCCAGATTAGAGGTGGAAAAATGAGCTCAGGGAAATGAAGGCTTTGCTAGAGAACTCTTGTCTCCTGATTTCAGTCTTTCAGTGGAGCTGCTAACCACAAGACCAGTAGTTCGAAACCACCAGCCATTTCACAGGAGAAAGTTGAGGTTTTTCTACTACTGTAATGAGTTATGGTCTCAGAAACCCACAGGGGGCAGTTCAACTGTGCCTTATAGGGTCGCCACGAATGAGAATGGACTCATTGTGTGTGTGTGTCTTGTTCTAGAGCATCCTGTGGGGACAAGTACTGCTCTGTAAAATTGCCAGCTAGGCATGTGTCCTTCCGTCTTGGTTCTGAGCCACCCCTAACACCTTGTCTTTCCTAAGCTCTCACCCAGAAGGCACCTTTTACCTTCTGTGCTCTTTTTCTGCCGGTCTACCCCTCCCACCTCTGTGTTCAGGAATGTCTTCTCCCAGCAGCCCTTGCTGTATCTAATTTCTTCAATGCCTTGCTGAGTGACTGGTGTTAAACATATTTCCTTCTAACCCACGCTTTCACTACCTTGGTGCAAAGGAAAGCAACGGAGAACAGGCTCACAAGAGGGATTTGCCATTCCCCAGAGAAGAGGACTATTTAGGGACAGTGGAGCAGATGTATGTCTGTATGGTCAGTACGTATGACTGTGTACCTCAAAATAGATCGATATCGTGCTCTTCTTTAGTTGGAATCCCTCTGTGGTGTAAACAGTTAATGTGTGTGGCCACCAGCTGAAAGGTGGACGTCCTCCCAGAGGAGCTTACTAAGAAAGGCCTGGTGGTCTATGTCTGAAAAAAGAAAAACAACTATTGAAAGTCCTGTGGAACACAGTTTTTCTCTGACACATGGAAGGTTTCCAAGACTCAATACTGACTTGACAGCAACTAGTCCTGTCTTCCTTTGTTAGATACAACCATCATATTCTTTCTTCGTCTTCATTTCATTATTATAAGTAAAATTAAAGAGAAAACTAAAAGTCAAATGACTTGACCAAGATTATTTCAGGAGTTTAAAATTGAGTCAGCAATAATGACTGAGTGCCTGCTCTATGTACAACCTTTTCTTAGATACATAAAGACTTTCATAGAAATGGAGTACTGATTTAAGAAAAAAGAAAAGGAGTACTGGTGTGCTGGAGCCAGGGGCCTGGGTGGCAAAAATGCTTTGCACCAAGTTGCTAACCAAAAGGTTTGTGGTTTGAATTTACGCAGAGGAAACACAGAAAAAAGACCTGGTGGTCTGCTCCGGTGAAGATTACAGATAAGAAACCCCATGGAGCTTAGCTCTACTCTGTACCAAACAAGGTCACTGTGAGTCAGAACCCGCTCCAAGGCCATACGTGCCAGAGGCAGCTTGTCCCCACTCATGAAGCATAAGTTCCCATTTCTGCCCAGTTTGATATTCAGTCATGTGGGTAGCTTGACATCCAGTACAGTGGGTGTGTTTATATCACAGAAATGGGCAAATACTACAAAGCAGGATCCTTTCTCCTCCCTGGAGAACTAATTGTTAAACTTTGTGTCTGGATACCACTGCATAGAAGGAATGATGCTTCCCTCATTAAAAAAATAAAGTAAGAATTAGAAATCTGAGAAGCACTTGCAATAAATGAGCAGAAACAAATCTGCTGGCATTCTATTGGTTACTGCTTCATGAGCCAAAGCCAGGAGCATGTAACCTAGAAACACACACACTCACTGCAAAGCACAACCCAACACGGAGGGGAGGATTGTGTGGTCACTTTGCAGTATACTCTGTAGGACTTCCATGGACGGAGCTGCTAATAATAAAGTAAGCAGTTTGGATTTACCAGTGGTTCCATAGGAGGAAGGTGAGTCTGTCTGCTCCTGTAAAGATGTAAAGTCACAGAAACCCAAAGGGACCGATCTGCTCTGTCCTACGGAGTCACGATTAGTTGGAATCAACATGTTGGCAGTAAGTGAGATCTAGGACTTCATTAGCAGTCTTTCTGCTGTCAAACAGGATTTTTGCCTGAGAAAGAGAAGTGATGGGGTTTGCCCCCTCTGGATGCCTAGGATTATTGTCACCTCAGGAAAGAGGCTACTCTACATTGCCGCCGTGCTACATTCACCATCTGGACTTTGCATATACCACCTTTCCCTCCTTTAACGATGACTGAACTCCTAATACAGACCAACCCGTCTGCTACAGAAGGGATCCTGGTGGCACAGTGGTTATGCACTGGACGGAAATCCTCAAGGTCGGCAATTTGAAACCACCAGCTGTTCCTCAAGAGAGAGATGGGGTTTTCTAACCACATGAATAGTTACAGTCCAGAAACGGACAGGGGCAATTCTACCCTGTCCTATAGAGTCTTGTCCTATAAGTCGACATCAACATGATAGCAGTGAGTGATCTACTAGAGAACATGTGCTCTTATCTACTTCAAGACAGGAGCTCGGGAAATTATTTCGTTTCATTACCATTACCTCCACTACCGTCTAACTCCAAACAAAATCATCTTTTAGTCTGATCACTATATCAGCCTGTTAGCTGTCCTCCGTTCTCCCTCTCTTGTCCTC